ATATGGAAGAGTGTAAATTTTGATGTCAATCATATATGAGCTACATTTGTGGGTCCGTACCTTTGAATTGTCACCTCGAGTAGGAAAATTGTGTTATAGCCGAGCCCAAACTTAAGATCAGTCCTTCCTTACCAATCCAATTTTGACCTAAAAACTAACATGGACTTCAAAAAAAATTTAGCCCACTGCCCACCTTAAAAGCACGTCTAGTCCAAATTTAGGTTATAGCCCACCCTACTATAAAGTTATTGGCCCACTATGATGGTCAAGGTTAACACCATTATAAAAGGGAAAATAAAGCCTAATGCTCTAAAAATTGACCCAATTAAATTCATACCCTAAATTAATTAAGCATCACATAAATCACGTATTAATTACGCCCTAAACTAAAACAATCTCCAAAATCTCCTAGCCTACTAAATACGGAGACCACAAACACGCCACCCACCGATCCTGAGTCGAGATGCCACTTCTCCTTCAACAAAGGTTCAGAAAAAATGGAGCCTGAATGGAATTGACCAAGATTTGGACAACAAATTCAAATATCAGAGGCTTTATAGCTGAGAAAGTGAGAGGAGGATATTCAGTAGCCATTGCAGGTTGTCCTGGATTTAGCGGAGGTTGTCCTTGTGAAATCTTTTGCTGTGAATTATTTTTCTTAACCAAGAATGAAATACATTTAACGTGAACAACTTGACAAGTTTCTGTTTCATGAAAGTTAAATGGGTTTCATTAATTGCAATTATTCTAGTGACTATTAGCATTTATCAAGATAGCTTTTTCAAAAATTTGGGGTCGTTCTATTTGAGGATTGCTTGTTGCTTTGTCTTACTCATTTCTTGTATAATTTGTGCTGTTCTTTCAGGCCGATTAGGGGAAGGAGCCCTAGTAATAGCAGCAGCAGCAGCTCGCCATCCCCTAAGCCTTAACTTAGGGGTCAGTTCTTGCGATAAAGAGCTTTCTGATGCACAATTTGGTCACAGTAAAATTTCTGTACAATTGCACGAGCCAATAATCCTAGACGGTGCTTTATGGTTGAAGCAGTTGATGCATTTGTCTCGTTCTGTAAGCTAAATTAGTATGAGATTCTGGGGGAGTAAACCTCATCTTCTATTTAATCTTCAACTTGGGTGTAAGAACAAATACCCGACTGTTTCCTGCCTTTAACCTTCCCATTCCTGCTATTTCACAGCAGGAAGTTTGCTTGTTATGGTCGTGTTATTTGTGCATGTTTTTGACTGAGAATCTACTGAATGAAGGGCTTGCTTCTTATTAGCTAGTGATTTATTTATAATAAATAGTTTTTCGTTGATCAAAGCTTGAAAAAGGGGTCAAACCATCTACAATTATCTCAAGTAAAATATTAATTTTGTACTTAAAAATTATAGGGGATGAAGAAAGACTGAACATTTAAAGAGAGAAAAATTGGGAAAGCAGTATTGTTGAATGGATAATGCTAAAGGTACATAATGATCTACATAAGGGTCTACATAATGCAGATGTGACATAATGATCTACATAATGCAGATGTGGCAATCATTCGGTCGTTGATGTGTAAGTGTCATATTTGAATTAAAGGTGAGATCACATGTCACATATGCATTATGTAGACCTTTATGTAGATTCTTATGTACTCCTAGCATTGTCCAATATTTTTGACCTTTGAGTAAACCTAGCTGGACTAGTTATTCTGGGAGGCAGTATACCAGTACGTACTTTTAAGGATATTTAGTGGCGGATAAAGATAATTGTAAACAGGGGCCAAAGTCTCCCCCAACCTATCACAGGGGTCAGTTGGTCCCCGGCATTGTAACATGATTCTTTAGCGGCGCCTGTTAACAAAGGCGAGGAAAAAAAAAAGAGAGCTGTCATTTGTAAAGAAAAAATGGTGCCGGAATTCATGCGTATAACACTCGAATATTTTCTATTTGACAACAATAATTCTATTTGTATAGAATTATTGGCCGCAGAAATTGGCTAGAAAACTCATATGGGGTGGGCCCCATGTGAGTAAAACATTGAAAAAAAATAAACCATCCCCCTGCTGTGTGTGTGTGGCCAATTTCTGGCCACAAGAAGCAGAGCTCATTGGACAATGGCGTAAAATAAAAATAGAAAAACAGACCAAACCCATCTGTAAAAATTCTGGCAGCAAAGAAAAACCGAATTTTGCAGAAATCTATGGCGTCCTTCGGGCAGTCGGTCTCTATCCCATTTTTCTTGGCACCTCATTGACATTGTTTTGGTGCAATATTTTTCTTTCTTTTTTTTAATCTTTTTTTCCCCTTGTTTTAGGTTTAATGACAAAAACGAGTAAATATTATTTTGACAATTGTGCAAGTGCACTTCACGTTAAAATTGGACTGAAAAAATGGATGTCAACGAGAAGCGACAGAGTAGGGATTAAATTATTTTAATGGGCGATGTTATGCAGGATATGTTGTTATTCCTAGCTAAAAACAATATCTTTAGGAAGTCCAGGAAAAAAAAAAAAAAAAGGAAATGATCGATAATAAAGACATCGAAAAAGGTCTAGACCTAACAGTAAATGGTAAGAATGAAACCCTTTGATGACATGAAATTGGGTGAAAGTGATGTGCCAAGATAAACAGGCATTAATATAGTTTCGTGGTAATATTAATGTTGGAGCCTTGGAGGTAGTATAATAAGCTCTTGTTTGGTTTGGAAAAATAATTAGATTTTTAGTAGATTTGATAAAATGTGGTGAAATGTGTATTTGAGAAGTTGATAAAAGTTGTCGATCCCATAAAATGTGGTTAAAAATGAATTTTAAGGAATGAGGGTCAAACAAGGCTAAATTCAAAAAGGGATGAGAACGTACGACTCATTCATTACTACAAGCACCAAGGACGAACCCAGAACTATAGTTCAGTGGGAACGACACAATTACGTAAAAAAATATTTCAAATAAATTGGAAAAAAAAACTGAAATTTTGAATTTAAAAAAGCCGCATTTGAAAATGCAACGAGGGCGACGACACCCACTCGTCCCTTCATAGGTCCCCCTCTGGCAAGCACGACCTAAATTAACATAATAACGAATGTTAATTTAAGAATGTTTTATTTTGTTCTGGACTAAAAAATGTATGTTGGATTTTTTGATACCCAATAAATCATAGGCAATGATGTTAAACAGTGTCAGATTATATTTCATAGGTCTCGACCGATGAGTGAAATAAATATCAATCAGTCAATCCATATGCTCGAACCGAAAGCACACAAGTTATTTTGTATTCACACATTTTGAGGGACCAATAAATAACCATTTACTTATTTATCATTGATTTCTATCCGTTTATAATTTAAAACGTTTATAAACACTATCCAAACTTGCTTTATATATTCCTATGACATTCCAGAGTGATTGTTGCTTTTTATTTAGGAGACCAATGCTTAGTATGGAAATTTGGCAAGTTATCTTTCAATATTGATTTTCTGCTAACAAATATTGGATTTTCTTTTCTTTTCTTTTTTTTTTCCCCTGCGTGTGTGTTGCCAAACAGTTCAATTGCATTTGCCTATCATTTTTATTAATTTAACTTTTAGTTAATAATGATATTTTAAAAGTATTAAACCTATAGTTACAATGACTGAACAAAAAAAATCATTAAATCATCGAAACAAATTCATTGATTTGAAAACGTTGATTTGGGTCCACATGGATTCATTTGACAGTCATTTTTACGAAACTTTTTTTTTCATTCATTTTTAACCACATATTCTACACGTAAATTCAAATTTTTTTCTACATTTTAACTACACATTTTCATAAAATCGCTATTTCAAAACTCATTTTTTTACCAAAAAATCTTATTTTAATTGTTGTCAAAAGGGGGCTTAAATTTCCATTTTCTAAAGAGGACCAAAAATTTATTGGGCCGACTGGAGCCATTTCCCCCAACCCAACCCAAAACTGTCTGTAACCTATTACCCCCATACAACCTTCATCACCGTACTATATAAAAAAGACCAGCTCAAAACCCTAATCCGCACGCGCACAAAAAGAGCTCAACGAAAATGGTGAAGTTTTTGAAACCGAACAAGGCAGTGGTCCTCCTGCAGGGCCGGTTCGCCGGCCACAAAGCCACCATAGTGAAGAACTTCGACGATGGCACCCGCGATCGCCCCTACGGCCATTGCCTGGTCGCCGGTATTGCCAAGTACCCTAGCAAGGTAATCCGCAAGGACTCCGCCAAGAAGCAGGCCAAGAAGTCGCGCGTGAAGGCATTTGTCAAGGTCGTCAACTATAACCACATCATGCCTACGCGCTATACGCTAGACGTCGACCTCAAGGACATCGTCGCTGCTGAATCGCTCGTCTCACGTGACAAGAAGGTGACGGCCTGTAAAGAGATCAAAGGGAGATTGGAAGAGAGGTTTAAGACTGGCAAGAATCGATGGTTTTTCTCTAAACTCAGATTCTGAGGTGGAAACGTTATAAAATATTGTGTTTTTTCGTTATTTGGAAGATTTACCGTATTTGATTTGGGTTTTATGGCTACATATTAAGACTGTTGAAGTTCTATAGTTTTTTCTTTTGATTAAATGAGCTGATTATGGTTACAATTGTTATCCTTTTCGAAATTGTCTTTGATACATTATTGGTGAAATACATTTTTCAGGTTCGAATTGATTCCATGGTTACGAACTTGTTCTTGTTTCGGATGATTGTATCTTGTTGAGTGACGTTATCTTCTATTTGCTGTGGCAACTTAAGAATTTTTTAGTTTGCTACAGCATCGGTAGAGGCTTGTTTTGCTTAGACAAATGGAAACATTTTCAATAATATTTAGACAAATTCTACTGGATGGGGTGGGGTTCGCATAATCAGTTTGTTTGCATACCGTCTCTAACTCGATATAGAATATTTTAAGATAAGAAAGAAAGTTGCCTAGGGCAGATGAAAGAAATGCTGATAGGCTATCCGAGCTCACAGGTGTAGTTGCGCGTACTTCGTTGATATTCAGTTTGTGTTCCGTGTACCGCAC